AACTTTGGGGGCGGGGAGGCTGGGAACCCCCTCATCGCTGCCTGGGGTTTCCCAGGGCTCCTCGTGCTTCAGTCAGCCACCGTGCTGGGGAATCGTATTTTAATTGAATCATCATACAGTCGTATTTTCCTCACGTGGACTATGAACTGCTTGACATTGGGGATCACGTCTGTTATTAAGCCCTAGAACCTTGTACACCCTCCTAAGAGAAACTTATAAAAATATGCGCGACAAGGGTTGTATCTGTCTAACAGTAATCAACAAGCACAATCCTGAGCCTCAGACCTTCCCTATGAAGCAATAGGGTTGAGCCGGGCGTGATGACGCACACCTGTAACCCCAGCACGCTGGAGGCTGAGGCAGGACAATTGCCCCAACTTCAAAGCTGGCTTGGGCTACATAGTGAGACCTGTCATGAAAAATTGGAATTAAAAAGCAAAAAAAGAAGAAGCAGAGATGACAAGGTTGAACTGCACAGCCGCTGAGATGGCTGGAGGCCAAGGCACCCTCTGTCTCACACTTTGGATAGGCTGGAATGATTTAGCACTTCCTGAGGTTTTCCCAAGAATTTACCCAACACTCCATGAAACACTGGGAAATCCCAAGCCTGGCAGAGACCGTGGGATGATGGTGTGGCAATTCTCTTGGGAATCTGCAGTTCCCCCTTCAACCCTAAGTGACCCAAGGTGGGAGAAATCAGACCTAAGAGGCCACACGGTGTTTGATTGCACCTTTGTGGAATACTGGAAACGGGAAATCCGTGGGACAGAAAGCAGGGCAGTGGTGGCCTGGGCTTGGTGCAGACATGGTTTCCTCTGGGAGTCAGGAAGATGGTCTACGGGGAGGTGACGGCTGTGCAGCATGTGCCCCTGTTTTCCTTTTTGGGGGGGTTGGGGCGGGGATTGAACTCAGGACCTCAGACTTGCCAGGGAGGTACTGCACCACTGAGCTATATCCCTGGCCCACAGCACGTGGGTGTTCTAAGCACCTCTGAACTGTGCACTTCAAAACGGTTCACTTTAAGCTACACGTGCTGGTGCTCGCCCAAAATCGCAGCACACTGAAAGGCTGCAGGCTCTGTCTCAAAATGAAACATAAAAAGGCTGGCGATGCAACTCTGTGCAAAGGCCCTGGGTTCACTCCTCACGACTGCAGGGGGAAAATGTTTAATTGTATGTTATGCTATTTTTACATCAACAAAAAAATAATAATAGTTCACTGGCAACCCAGCTAGGTCAAGGCTCATGCCAAACTTCATTCTCAGAGGCGACAGACAGCACAGCCAAGGAGCTGCAGAAACCTGGTACTGTATCTTATTTGTGCTGGGTCCATGGCTCCCAAGCCTGCTTTCCCCGTTGGCTTGCCGTTGGCGGTGTGAGTTACAGTAATCAGCAGCGCTCACTGTGCTTTTGCTGTGCTTTCCACATCTTTCTGGCCTCTCCGAGGGCACTGACGCAGCTGACCCTCAGCTGAGGCCTGTGGTGTGATTGCTGTGGCCAGCTTCGGTTTCCCGAGCAGCAAGAGGTCGGGCTGGACTCGGCTCTCCAAGCAGGCCGGTCCCAAAATCTGTCCCTCTGCTGACACACTGGAGTCTGTGGGGTTCGCGCAGCCCATTTGTTTGATAGGGTAACCAAGCCCTTCAGGGTTTTTTCTTTCAATTTTTTTCTTGACTACCTAGATGACTAGCTTTTTTGCGGGGGGGGGTACTGGGGATTGAACTCACGACCTTGCGCTCGACAGGCAGACGCTTATACCGCTGAGCTATATCCCCAGCCCATCTTCAGGGCCTTTCTAAAGATTGAAGGTGCACCTGCCTAGTTCACAGGCCAATGGGTGCAAAGATGGGTCTCACTGGGGAGCAGCTATCTTACAGGGGGAGGAGCTGAGCTTGACCCCATCAGAGGGGCAGAGCCGAGTGAGTTGCAGAAGCATCAGTGTCTTAGGGGACGCCTCAGTGGACGTGATGACACCTTCTTCTGTCGGACCTTCAAGTGGCGCAGCTGCTCTGGGTCCAGGTCCCTAGGCTCTTGCTCAGAAGGCTTTCCCCTAGAAAGGCTCCTAGGCTTACCCCTAGAAAGCTTGGGTGTAAAGGAGGGCATGGTGGTGCACACCTGTAATTCTAGCAATCAGGAGGCTGAGGCAGGGAGATCTCCATGAGTCTGAGGCCAGCCTGGGCTATGCAATGAGATCATAGCTCAAAGAAAGAGAAAGAGAGAAAGAGAGAAAGAGAGAAAGAGAGAAAGAGAGAAAGGGAGAAAGGGAGAAAGGGAGGAAGAAAGAAAAGAAAGAAAGAAAGAAAGAAAGAAAGAAAGAAAGAAAGAAAGAAAGAAAGAAAGAAAGAAAGAAAAGAAAACAGGTGGTTCCCTCTCTACAAAGAAGTCTCTGGCAAGATCAGCTATGGCAACACAGGCCTGGCTTATTTGTTAATCCTGGCAAAACACCTCCTGAGAAAAGCCGGTGGACGGAGACTTGACGGATTGCTGAAATGCTGCGCTGGCTTAGGTTCGTTCCCTCCCCCCCATGTCTACACTGCAGGGCCCCACAGCACAGGCCCTCAGCCTTCTGAATCTGATGCAACCGCTGGATGTCAGTGACCCCGAATAATCAGATCATCAGATATCAGGTGATGCGACCTGGGCTTCCAGCCAGGAGCCTCCTGTCACCTGCTCTTTCAAGGTGGCCTCTCCTCATCCACAGTTCACACGCCACGTCTTGCAACCAGTGACTCACCGCGGCCTCCCAAAGCAGTCCAGAACAGATGCAAGGAGATAGGAACCCGCACCTGCCTCTGCAGCGGGGGTGCGCCTGGGATGAGCGATGGTTCAGGAACACATGGTCTCGCTGGTTCACGTCAAATTTTAATTGCTCAAGCAGCCGACTGGAGGAGAGGATTGTGAACTCCGTAAATGAGGCCACCCTTGAAGAGCTCCTCTAATTGTCTCCACCTCCTCATGAGACAGAGCAGGGCTCTTGTTGAGGGCTGAAATCTCTTTCTTTAAACATTTATTGGGGTTTTTTTTTGGTACCAGTAATCAAACTTAGGACCTTGTGCTGTGCCACTCAGCTATATTCCCGGCGCTCTTTCTTTAATTTTTGAGATTCACGTAGCCAACCGTCGACCAGTGGGGCGGTCAGTTGTGTGTCCACCGCTGAGCTCTACAGCTGCTGCCTGGTACCTCCATTTGGAAATCTGAAGCCATCTCAAATGTAATACATCCAACCTGGGACACTGGATAGCTCTCTAAGCCTTACTGACCTCAGCAAACGTCTCTGTCCTTCCCTGATGGCTCAGGCTAAACACCTAGGGGTGCTCTTAAGTGGGCCGTTCCCCTCATCCAGATTATCATCGCTCCCTCCTGCCTTCCTCTACAAACTATACCCCAAACCCGAGTGCCCCTCCTCCCACTTTGGCCCCTCCCACAGCCTTCCAACTTTCTTCTCTCTCCTGCCTCGGCCTCCTACATCTGTTATTTAATCGGAAGCCAGAGATCTTTCTAAACCCAGGTCAGACACTAAGCCTCTGCTGCTCAAATCCTTAAGAGCGACTCATCACATTTCCCCACACCACTGGGGGCTGGGGGCGCAGCCCGCGGCAGAGCGCTAGCTTAGCATGCACAGGGCCCTAAACCCGATCCCCGGTCCCACAGACAAGCTCCTGGCTGCAGCCCACTCGCCGCGCACACAGAGTCTGCTCCCCAGACTTGCCAAGCTGGTCTCCCCCTGAGGGCCTTGCACTTGTTGCTTCTGCCTGGAGCATGGTTCTTCCCGGGGCTTAGCAGCTGCCCACCTCATCTCCCTCGGGGGCGCTGCTGAAATGCCCTCGGTCACCCGGCCCGTCCTTGATAACCGATCTGAAGTAGGCTTAAGACCCCTCCCATCCGCTTACCACACTTGCTTTGTATTCTTAGCCGGTGACCACTTCCCACATACTTCAGTAAGATTTACTAGCAAATCTAGAGAGTGAATTTTCACCACCTAATCTTGTCCAAACTCCACATAGCACCCCGCACCTTGGCCCTCTGGATGGTGTGTCTTCCCCTCAGAACATATTTTCCTCTGGCAGTGAAAAGAAAACCTTGCTACTTCCGGAACGGAGTCCTGCCAGTCCCACCAGCAACCAATTTCAGGAGCCCAGCCCTGGAAGACTGCTGCCCACCTAGATCTGCAGCAGGAAGAGCGACAGCCCTGACTCGTAGGCTCTGTCCCCCACAGCAGAACTGGACTCGGGACCAGGTTCCACCAGAAGCACTCTGACCCGAGGGCCTGGCCTTGAGGAGAACCAGGACCCTGTGCGCTTTGGGGTCAAAGAATGGCAGAGCTCGTCTCCCAGTCAGTGCCGCAGCAGGCCACTCGAGGGCCAGCCGAGGACGCTTGGTGCTGCGTGGGACGGAGAGAGCGGTGGGCCAGGGAGAGACGGACAGATGGATGGAAGGAAGAGAGGCAGATGAGGAGAGCTAGGGCAGCAGAAGGCTTCTGTGTGGACCCTAGACGGGTACTCCGCCCCTCTGGGACACTGCGTCCCTGCAGGTGGCCCTGGTGCTGGCTTGGTTGCCAGGCTTTGGGAAGGGGCATGTGGGGCCCCAGACCACGGCGCATCCTGAGACCTCTCCTTTTTCTAGGCCTGGTGGTGCATGCAGGTAATCCCAGCACTTGGGAGGCTGTGGCAGGAGGATTGCTGTGAGTTTGAGGCCAGCCTGCGCTCCACAGTGAGACCCTGTCTCCACAAATTGAAAAATGAGAAAGAAAAACAACCAAACACCAAAAATAAAATAAACTGAAAAATAAAAATAAAGCTAAATAATTTCCCCAGCTTCCACACACTGAGATCAACAGCTGTCACTCTGAGGCTGAGCCCAGGCCCCCAGGAAGTTTCAGCACAAACCAGACTTGCGGTCTTTCTCTGGGCGTGATGGGGGGCCGGGGCTGGGCCGCGTCTACACAGGGCATTTCCTGGCTTTCCTCCCAGCCTTGCAACTGGCAGGTGCTTCTGTGTGCAGCTGCACTCCGACGTGGCGAGTCTCCTCACCTTTGTATCTCCATGAGCTTCTGTGTGTCTTCGACGGCCGGCAGGCAGGCAAGGGAATCCAGGTGGTTGGGGCCTCATTCTGACTCCAGCCCCTGGCCATGACCCTCGCCCTACAGAGAACCCAGTGTTTCCCGTGCCCTGGGAAAATGTGTGAACAGTCACACGGGCACCGGTGCCTCGCTGTGGGCAGGGCTGCTCCCCGATCCAAGCACTGGGCCACCCCAAACTGTGTCCTCACGCCGTGGAGGGCCACTGACCTGGCCAGGAGGAGCTCCGCCCTGGCGTCTGAGTCCCTCGCTCTATCCCTGTTGGGTCGGGACACTACTCTGCGGTCGTTTTCTATGCCAGGGCATCTCCGGCTGGCACGGGGAGGAAACAGCACGTGGCACACTGAGTGGCACTGTCACGGCACGGGGCGCATTTAGGAGGCTTTGCCGGCTTGGGACGTGGCAGCTGGCAGTGCCGTGGCGACCGCTGTGTCCTGTTCCTGGCAGAATTGGGGAGAGCTGCAGTCATGGCCGCTCCGGAAGAGGACGCGGTGGGGCCCTTCTGAACTCGTTGTGTTTAATGCCTATTTTTCTTACTTTATGTTCACAGCACATAGTGCATACATGTAGGCTGAGAGCCGGTGCACAGACAGTGCACGTCCTCCGCCTCCTTCCGTCCGCTTTCTCTCCTCCTCCCTGCCTGGCCAGTCCCCTTCCTGTCCGCAGAACCCTCTTTCCCTGTCTCCCGAGGGTTTTTTTGTTGTTTGTTTTTTTCCAGTACCAGGATTTGAACTCACGACCTCGTGCTTGCCAGGCAGGTGCTGTGCCGCTGTACTAAATCCCTAGCCCCTCCTGAGGGTTTTTGACCACCAAGAGCTGGGATTTCTGTGGTGTCTCCTTCTGAGATGGAGACCCTTTTGAAGCCTGGCCCCGGAGCGCACAAGGCTTGGCGGGCTGGGGCCCTGGAGACCCGCAGCCGGCTGGCTGGTGGGGGCCCTGCTCCAGCCAAGGGGAGCAAACTGAGCCGCCGGCGCGGAGCTGTCTTCCTCAGAGCTCGGCTGGTCTGGATGGCAGAGGCGAGGGAGCAGGGGTTTCCTGTGGGTTTTTGCTGGGAACGAAGGCCCAGCGGGACTGTACTAATGCTCGTTTCTGGGTGCCCAACACCACTCTAGGACTTGCGGGCATTACCTTGTTCTGCCACTATTTATCTCCATTACTTTCTACCCCAAGGCCTAGGCAGTTAGTTGGGCAGGGAGTGTGGGCTCCACAGCACTGTCACTTTGGGGGGGACAATGGCCATCCTGCAGGCGGGTGGAAACCCTGTGCCCTCCTGTTGTGGGCAGCGAGGGTCTGTGGCCCCTGGGTCAGGCATCGGCCACAGGACGCGCATTTGGAGCAGTCCTGGGCCTCTTCTCTCAGATGCCCTACGCCGGTTCAGGTGTTCCAGGCTCCAAGTCCTACGGACACAGCAATTTCTCCCGAACCCTTTTCTAAAGCGCAGACTCCACTGTACCACAGGCCCGAGCTCTGCCCGGTGACATGGACAAAACCCTGTCACATAGATGTCTGCATAGAGATGAACACAAACTACAGGAACTCCTAGGGCTCTGGAGGCTGAGGCAGGAGGGTCACTGAGAGTTCGAGGCCAGCCTGGGCTACATATGAGGTCAAGGCCAGCCTGAACTGCATAGAGAAACCCCGTCTCAAAAAAAAAAACCCCAAAACAAACTAAAAGATGAACAGAAACTCCCCACCGCCCCAATCCTCTATGTGTTAAAAAGATAAGTTGTAGGTCATTTTCTTCTTACTGTTGTGATGCTATTTATGTAAAAATATTAAAACTCAAGAAAAGGAAAGAAACCAAAGTCTGTCACCTATAATGCATGCTTCTTCTGACGGTACTCTTTGGAGCAAGAAGCTTTTCAGAGGCGTCATCCCCGCTAGCTTCAGCTTTGTCATGACGTCCCTCTTTCCTCCTGCGGCCGCTAGCTCAGAGGCGGCCCAGGCTCAGGCGCAGCCTCCTCCACGCTGGTCCCGGAGGACCTTCCAGGGAGGAAATGGGTCTAGGGCGCTGGGCACAGGAGTCCCTGAGGGAAACATCTAGAAACACACTTACAAAGACTTTGAAAGGCTTCGTGGCGAAATCCTGAGTCGAAGGAGATCTTTCAAGGCCGGCTTCTGTAGCACTAACGAATGAAAGGAAATTATAAGAGATTTTGTGAGATTTGGAGTTGATCCTGAAAATAATGAACCGAGGAAGGCTGAGATTTGGAGTAGCTCGTGAAAATAATCTGAAGGCGTCCTCATAAATCGTAGAAGTTATTTCCTGTTTTTAGCCGGCCTCGCTGCCATAAAATAAATGCCAGGTTGGACTTTTTATCTAATTCCCAGAGTCCATTTGTGCCATAAATTCCTCCCTCTTCGGCTCACTCCCTCTTACCTAAGCTAGATTAGTCACAGCCGCTCGAATGCGGTTGGCCTCCGTGCGATTGATCTTACCATCCACAGGTGATGTTTGCATGTTACCAGCTTCTGTTTTTATCTCACTCGAATGCACCTTGTGTTCTCAGAGGAGCCTGGGGTTTTTCCACTTAAAGTCACCCTTTAATCCCTCCCTGCCGACTCAGTCAGGTCTCAAGGCAAACTCATTTAGTCACTCAGCAAACACTGTTGAGTAACCCTGTTCCCAAGGAGAGCACACTCTTAGAGAGGAAATAGTTACATAAATGATGATACGCAGTGCACAAACAATCCAAAGCAGCACGTGGCGCAAGAGCTAGAGGAATTTTGAGGAGGATCCTTTTCATCCAGGAAGGGGAAGAAATAATTTTCCACGTGGGAAGGGCATGCTAAGTGGGAAGAACTGACGTGCAAGGAAGTCAAGGAGGTACGAAAGCACATTTAAAGCAGACAGTGGGCCAGGCGTGGCAGCGCACACTTGTAACCCCAGCACTCAGGAGGCTGAGGCAGGAGGATTGCTGTGAGTTCCAGGCCAGGCTGGACTACATAGTGAGTTCTAGGCCAGCCTGGATTATAGAGTGAGACTCTGGCTCAATAAAATAAAATAAAATAGGGTAGGCAGTGAGCCGTTACTGGAGGTTTTAGACTGAATAAGCACCCCCCAGCTTCCACTCTAGTGGGAAGTGACAGTTGATGAATGAGCCAAGTGTGTGGTGTTTTAGAGGGGTAGGCATATGGAGGAAGAGCTGGGGGAGAGGGCTTGTGTGTGGGCCTGCTGCTGTCACTGCAGTTGTACCAAGGCCTGAGCGGGGAGACTGTCCTCCCAGGGCTTCTGGCTTAATCCTTGTAAGGAAAAGCCTGAGCATCTCAGTCCTCCAAAACCTCCGGGCTGGGCCAGGGATGCGGCTCAGGGCTGGAGCGCTTGCCTAGATGACAATAAAAGTAACCGCCGCAGATGTCAATTCAGGCCGATCGCATCTTCCCTCCAGCCTGCTGGTTTTATCCGTGGGGCGTTTTTTGCTGTTTTCCACTGATGCACAGTATGGGCATTCTGGTGGATGGATTTCGTGTCCCGAGCACACCCCGGTGTTGGCGCTGGCTACTTCTGATTACCACGGTCTTGATTCACGACCCCAGGGTCTGTCACCTTCGCTGCCCTCTCATTTTTGGATCTCGTTGTCTTCCCCGCCAAAAGCAAGATAAATACTCAAGCTCCGCTGGGTAGTGGCCTTGGAGCTTGGCCAGATCTGCTTTTCAGCTTGACTCTCAGCCTGGCCCTTGGAGGGCCAAATGGGCAGGGCCCTGTTTCACCCTCTGCGACTCCAAGATCTGGTCTGGTCCCGTCAGTGGTCAGGGAGCTGAGGGGCGGCCTCACCTAGGGCCAGCATTAACCATGTGAAGCAGCAGAACAAACTTTGCCAGGCGGAGCTGGGCTCACCCACGAACGTGCGCTTTCAAATACAGGTAAGCCCCTGGGATGGAACTCATCTTGAAATTCTACAGACGTTCAGAGACAGCAAGTTGGGGCTGGGGATTTAGCTCAGCGGCAAAAGCGCCTGCCTGGCAAGCGCGAAGTCGTGAGTTCGGTTCCTGGTACCGGAGAAAAAAACAAAAAAACCAAACAAAACAAAACAACAACAAAAAAACAACAGAGACAGCAAGTTGCAGCAATAATGATGGTTGTAAAGATTGTTATTTTAAGGGAGAAATAAATTTAGGAAGAAAATTATATCATTTTGTGTCACAAATATGCAAGCAACTTAATTAATAATGAAAGGTATGCAAGAATAAACATAAATTTAGAATGTAAATTCTAAGCCAGGCATGGTAGGGCATGCTAGTAATCCCAGCACTGTGGAGGCTGAGGCAGGAGGATCACCTTGAGTTTGAGGCCAGCCTAGGGTACAGAGTGAGTTCAGAGCCAGCCTGAACTATGTAACAAGTTCAAAAATGAAACAAAAAAACCCCAAAAAAGCAAAGTCTAAATGTGGGCAACTATCTCAGATCTATATCGGAAAATGTTCACAAAGCATCTTTTTCTAGCACCAAGTTCAGCTTGTGGGAGCCTTCAAGGAGATTGAATGATCCCCACCCAATGGCCAAATCCTCATGTCCAGCAGTAGAAGTGCAGAGCAAACTTTCCCTCGTTCAGTGCCTATTAGAAAGGAAGGCATTGCTCACACCTATAATCCCATCACTTGGAAGGCTGAGGCAGGAGGATCACAAATGTGAGGCCATTTTGGGAAATTTAGCAACTTAGTGAGACCTTGTCTCAAAAAATTTAAAAGGGCTGGGGATCTGGCTGAGTGGGAAAGCCTTGGGTTTAACCTCCACTATCAAGAGAGAGAGACAGAGAGAGAGAGAGAGAGAGAGAGAGAAGGAAAATCCAAGTGTGGTGGTGCAAGCCTATAATTCTAGCCCTCAAGAGACTGAGGCAGAAAGGTCACAAGTTCGAGGCCACTCTGGGCCATTATAGTAAGTTCAAGGCTGGTCTAGACCAAAAAGAAACTAAAGAAAGAAAAAGAAGCTTAAAAGCAAGTGGTAATGTCACTACCAGGAGAACCCTATGCTTGGTAGAAGAACCAAAGAATAGCCCACTCCTGACACTGCATACCCTGACTTGAACTGAAAGCAGATGTTCATTTATGACCACAGTGTGCAGAAACACAGGTAGAGACTGATGATACTAAAAGTTGTTCCTGTGTTATTTGAAACTTCCGAAGTCTAACTACTTGTTTCCTTAAAAGCTGTAATTATAATTCAATTCTTAAACATGCATTCAAATTTGTATTATTATTTTTATTATATTTGGGGGGGGATTTTGAGATGGCGTCTTGCTGCCCTTGAACTCACAGCAATCCTCCTGCCTCAGCCTCCTAAGTGCTGGGATTACAGATGTGCACCACTATGCCTAGCAAATTTGTATTAATTTTAATTTTTTTTTTTTTTAGCATTTGGTTAAGATATAAATTCAAGAAATTGCTTCCAAATCCTCAGAAGGTTTTTTTTTTTTTTTTACAGTGCTGAGGACAAAGCCAGGGCCTTGCCTGTGACAGACAAGCAGTTTCCCTCCTGGGCCTTCACTTTGTCTTTCCTCCTTTTTTACACATTACTTACTCAAGTCCAACTTACAGTACCTATCTCCCTCTCCAGCTGCAGTTAGCACCTCAGTGCATTTTATTTCCTTTACAGCATTTGTCTCTATCTGAAATTATCTTTCTGGTTTTTCTTTTTATTGGCACTGAGGGTCGAACCCAGGGCCTCCACAGTGAGAGCTATACCCACAGCCCTTTTGTTATTTTTTGCTGGGCTCATCTATGAACATGCACTTTCAAATACGGGTAAGGGTCTCTCTAAGTTGCTGAACTGCCCAGACTGAGCTCAGATTTGGGACCCTTGGGCTTCTGAGGTTCGGAACCTCCCCCTATTTTTTTTTTTTCTTTTCCTACCTGGCCGTCTCAATGAGCTGCATCCCCTGCCCTCACCTTACCGTGTAGCAGAGCTGCATCCCCTGCCCTCACCTTACCGTGTAGCAGAAAATGCTCCCCCAGTATACTTCAGTTTCTTAGTTGCCCAGGTAACAGTTCCTGTTCCAGTTCCGGTTGCTTCTGTCTCTTAGAATCGGCTGGCCACTGACGCCCATTGTATAAACCAATCCTGATTCATAAGCCATTCTGCCTCTGTGTCCTGCTTGCTTATCCCCTATAAGCCCTAGACCACCAGAGATCAGGGCCTGATATCCTGGGAGTGATCCCAATCAGGGCTGTGGACATAAATCATGCATATCTCCAATAGTAGCTGCCTCCAAATCCTGGGTGTTGTTTCTGTGTTTCTGCTTGCCATTGCAATGGGAAATAACTGCAAGAGCATCCTAGTCAGTTAACTTCGGAAAAGCTCGCCATCCTCCCTGCCACGAGCCAAACCTGGAGGACTCTCACCACTTCATCAGAGAGCTGCCGGGGCAGGAGGCAGCACGGAAAAGACAGAAAACCAAACCAGAGTAGACAACTTCCCACAACCCGCAGCTTCCACCGGGAAGCAGGTTGAGCTGGGGAAAGAAAAAGCTCTGACTTGGAACGACAGTTGTGGGACCAGTATTGGATTTCATCAGGGCAGAAGAAAACAAAGGGACTTCAAATAATTTGAAGGGAGAGGGCAGCAGAAAACTATTTTCTGTGGTCATTGACTCCATCCTGCTCATTCAATAAAATGCATGCCCCTGACAAAACTAGGAGGAAAGTCCTGATTTAATACCCTGTCCTATGTTCATTTACTTAATAAATAGATACTGAGCACCTGCTCTATGCTGGGTCTTGGTATAGGGAGTGAGGATTCGACCGTGTATTCATACAAATGTTTGATATAAGTAGAGAAGTTTTAATATTCCTTGGGGGTCGTAGTAACACCCTAAGACTTGGGGATTTGGGTTACATCAGCACATGCATTTGTTAAAATCAGAGTGAAAAAAACAGTTGTTTACTTGTCAGCTGTAACACGTACACACGGTGACAGGCGCAAGTCTTAAACACGTTTGCTGAGTACCAGGAAGGTCACAGCTCTGCCTTCTCCAGCGCAGGTAAACCTCGCCTTCTACTTCACAGAGGACACCTCCACGGGACGGTCAGCTCTGCACACTGCACTTGCAAAGGTCCTGCAGCCCCAGCTGCCTGTCCTTCCCTGCTTCCTGGGACACTGGACAACACGTCCCTACGGAAATGCTACAGGAGGCCAGTTTCATCCCTTGCCCTGGCTTTTGTATCTCCTGTCCTCCTTCTCCAGACTTCTCAGAGACCTTGCTCTGTGGCATCCTGACACAAGACACATCTGACATACCTTCTTCTCCTCCTCTTTCTCTTCCTGGTGGATTCAACCCAAGGCCTTTACACTGAGCCACACCCCAGTCCTGTTTTTATTATCTTAAGACAGGCTCACTAAGTGGTGAAGTTGCTCAGGCTGGGCTCAAACATGGGATACTCCTGCCTCAGCCTCTCAAAGTGCTTCACTTACAGGCATCCATCACCACACCAAGCTCGTTTCTTCTTCTTGAAACAACTTCCCTACGCGTCTCCTCTACCCTCGTGACTCCAACGGCGGCCTTTGCTGAGATGCGATGTATTTAGCTGTGCCTCCTCTGACCTCCACCCCCAGCCCCGCTGAACTTCCTTCTTCACACCCCTTCACCCATGTGTCTTGCCCACAAGACAAACACGGCCTTTGCTCTCAGAGCGTCTCATAAACTGCTGCGCTCCTAGCACTTAGCAAGCAACTGTATTACTATATTGAATAATTGTTGCTGAACGAAATCGTTAAATTCACTTACATCATCTGTAAAATGTATTTTAACATTTCCTTTTCCTTCTCCTTCAGAGATTTTAATTTTATTCTAATAGCTCTAGCCATTCTCTTTAGGATAACATGAAACAAGGACATTGTGACAGTTTTGTTCCTGTAAGTCCTTTTTTTTTTTTTTTTTTTCTTTTGTCTTTTTGAGACAGGGTCTCGTATGCAGTTCAGGCTGGCCTTCAGCTTACTTTGCAGCCCAGGCTGGTCTTGAACTTGCAACAACCCTCCTGCCTCAGCCTCCTGAGTGCTGGGATTACAAGCATGTGTCACCACTCCCAGCCCTATAAGTCTTTTTTGTCTGTTTTGTTTTGTTTTTGAGACAGGGTTTCACAGTGTAGTTCAGGATGACCTTGAACTCAGCATGTAGCCCAGACTGGCCTCAAACTCATGGCAACCATCCTGCCTCAGCCTCCTGAGTGCTAGAAGCATAGGTGTGCACCACTATACTCTGCTTCTTCCTAGAATTCTTATAATTTCTTATGATGCTATATCTAATCAAAAGTCTCACATGTAGAAAATTCTCTGTGAGAACAATTTCAGTATAAAAATCCTGTAGTGTGGAAAGCTCCTTGGAGGTTCTGTATTTAAATTTCCTCACATGATTCTTCAGAAGAACGAAAAACCCAAAGTACTGTATGACTCTTATGACAGCTTTATTATGTTTTCACTCAGATGGAGCATCTCCAATGGCTAGACACCACCAAAATCAGGTTCAGTTTATCTTTCAGTTGCAAAGGAAGATCTCTGGTAGTTTACATAACCAAACTTTATAAATAGCTTAGTTTTTTTTCTGGGCAATTCCAAATGCAGTCATCACGCACTGAACCTGACTAGGCGTGCAGTTAAGTAGGTTCTAAGGACCTAACACTGCATTCATTGCACACACCTGTAACATTCATACATGTGCACACGTGCAGAAAGATAGGCCCTACACAGAGATAAATATAGGAACATAGAGATGTAATTCTTCTGCCTCTTTCTAAAATTGAGGGAGCACAAAAAATGAACAAAATCATTAAACAAGATCTCTGTGAAGAGGTATAAATGTTCCTCTTTACAAACTGTTGTGCAGCCTTGACCTAAGCTTTGTTGGTACGGTATAGGTCCTTCCAGCAGCTGAAGTGCAGAGTCCACCGTAGCACAGTTAGAGCTGCAGACCGCATCATCTTGAAGTCTTACTCTGACAAACCCGCAACTAACAACGCACTGTAAAGGCAACTCCAGTCTTTAGTGGCACGTCCTGAAATAGGACAAAGCAGATCTCCTAAGATTCTCTTTCCCATTCCCAGCCGTGGGTCTTCTCACCAGTACCCCGGACTGCAACCACCTCTATACTCTTTCTCCAGTGAAGTACAGTTTAGGGTATATTTCTTCCTTCTCCAAGCAGGAACTCTTTCAGCAGAGAGAGAGAGAAAGAGAAAGAAGGAAAGGAGAGAGACAGACAGAGACAGAGAGACAGAGAGACAGAGACAGAGAGAGAGTGAAATATCTGAGATCCGGAGATACCTAGACAGAAGTGTCCATTTTCCAAGCAGGGGGCCTGGGGATTTAGCTCAGAGGCACAGCGCCTGCCTGGCAAAAGCAAGGTCGTGAGTTCGATTCCAGGTACCGAAAAAAAAAAAAAGTGAATTACATTTTCCGAGCAGGCTGTGCCTTCCAGGAGCTACTGATTGGGAGATTAAAAGGAAGAATCAGGACGCACAGTGGGAAAGCAGTACACAGAACACGTACTTAGCTGGTGGGTAGTGTTATACAGATTCTGGGGACAACGTGGGTCCCGGATGAGCTAACGCTGCCCGGGAGGGAGCCCGCGGGGGAGCTGGGACCCGCCACCCAGTTATCGGTCAGTGCACATTTGTGGAGCTTTCACCGGGCCTTCTCCCGGATGGCTACTCTGTGTATGCGTTTTTTAGGGCAAGGTTCCATTATGTTTCTTCCTCCGTGGTCATGACTCCCGGTGTCCGGGTAGCAGCAGGGAGGATCTCGTGGAAGCGGCAGCTCCAACTCTTCCAGCACCGCCGAAGGAAGCTCTGGAGACTGAGGCTGCAGAGCTGGGGGCGGGGCTCAGGGACGCGGACCCCAAGTGGCGCCTCGTCCCCCTGGTGTCACAGACCAGGGACGGGGTGCGGGGCGCCCACCATGGCACCTCCAATGCCGCCGCAGCCGGTCGCCCAGCAAGTCCCCCCGCTCCCCGGTCTTCCCGGGCCGTTTGCGGTCACCCGCCCCCTGCTCCCTCCGCCCCCGCTTCCGCGCGCCTCCATTTCCGCCTGCGCGCCGCGCCTTTCGGCCCCGCTCGGCTTCCGTCCCAGATGATCCCTCCCCGGGGCCGCCGCCGCCGCCGCCGCCGCCTTCCCCGCCTCCCCGGGCCGGGGCCGCCTTCTCAGCCAGTGGCGTAGGCGCCTCTGCGTCGCGGCCCCGGGTAGCGGCGGA